TTGGCTTTTTCGATGACATTTATAATTTTTATTATTATTTCTAAGAATCGCAAAAATTCGTAGCCGTATGTATAATTTTTTTTGAAACCCATAGGGAAGCATAGATAGATAGATAAAACTTTATTGTATGCCAAAAAATTACATAAATATTAACAAAAAATGAGAAATATAAGTGTGGTACAATGGGTGGTCTTATCTCTAAGAGCGATCTCTTCCAGACAACCTTTGGATGGACAGGATTGCAAAAAACAATAAAAACGTGTGTGGTTTGGCGGCAAAAATAACATTACTTTTATTAAAGCTATAAAATAGGAATATAGAATGGTATATAAGTACATAGATAAGATAAATACATACATACATATTAATATATATGTATATCTATACCTATAAATATATATTTTTGTAAATATAGATATAAAAGAGTACAAATATATACTATAAAACTAATATATATAACGTAAATGTTCCATAAATATAAACAAATATAGTAACTAAATAAAGGTAGAATGATTATATACAAATGAATAGGCAATATTTTTGTATAAAGCAAAGTCTGTCTGTGATTGCGTGGGGTGCGTGAGATAAGAGAACTTTCAAGTCACTCTATAAAGTCCGGAGGTAAGGTCTCATCATAACTAACAAAACGAGCCCAAACTCGGCACATCTAGTTCTCTTCATCGAGGATTTCCTATAGCAGTCATCAAAGTACACTTTCAAGTCACTCTATAAAGTCCGGAGGTCAGGTCTCATCATAACTAACACAACAAGCCCGAACTCAGCACATCTAGTTCTCCTCGTCGGGGAGTTCCTGTAGCAGTCATCAAAGTACACTTTGTCAATCTATCAAGTCCGGATGTAAGGTCCCATCATAATTCACAAAACGAGCCCAAACTCGGCACATCTAGTTCTCCTCGTCGATGAGTTCCAGTGGCAGTCTTCAAAGTACACTTTCAAGTCACTCTATCAAGTCCGGGGGTTAGGTCTCATCATAACTAACAAAACGAGTCCAAACTCGGCACATCTAGTTTTCCTCGTCGATGAGTTCCAGTAGCAGATACCGACACACCACATCAGGTCTATTAAGTCCAAGACGTATAAGTATATTTTTTATATAAAAACCTCCTGCATGCTTTTAGCGAAATAAAATATTGTAATAAAAATCTGTGATTATAAAAATAATATTAATATCTTACCTTGGTCAAGTATGTATCAAATTTGGTTTTTGGAATATTTTGTATTTCGCGATCGATATTTTTCAGCACGAGCCGCTGTAACAAACAACCACTCACGACGGCACTTGAGGCCGGAGTAATGTACTCTGTGCGGCTTCGCCTTACCTAAACTTATTATCATGATGAGAAGCAATGTGATCATCGTTTCGTTGAAGTAATTTAATTTTCTTTGGTTAGGTTAAAAGTTTTGTACCTACTTAAGTGATATTAGAAAACAGTATAAATAAAAATATCGAACCATATTTTATTTTTGGCAATAAATAATATTTCTATTTTCTTTATCATAGGTGTTGTTGCTTCGGAACAGTCCCGATATAATATCCTTTTCCTAAGTATTTCCTATCCTCCCGCCTCCCCCATATACGCACTACTCAAAATGGTGCGCCACCTATCGTCAAGAAAAAGATGAAGCAAGATGGCCGCGCACGCATAAAACGTGTTCGTTACTGCTCGTTTAAAAATACTCAATAAATAAGTTGTAAGACTATCGTGCAATTGCTCGTGTCCATATACATTCGAAGTGCAGTGTGTTGTCTGTGTATACACGAGAACTTCAGCCTAAATATTTAGACTTCACCATAACCACGAGGAGTGCTCCAGTCTTGTGAGTATACTTGCCTTATCTACCCAGTTCTAAAGCTATTTTCATTTACTTCCTGATTGGGATCATCGGGTTAGCCAGCCCTTGGTCTGGTTGTTCTCTGGTTCCCAAAACCACCCTACGAAACACATTGTGAAACATTCAAGCCGTAACATAATTTCTGGTCCATACGATCCGGGTACCTATGGATTTCTATTTTTATACAGTCCGCTCCTTATTAATATAATATCAAGTTCAATTTCTAAGGAAAACTTTGATATTTAATCTATTTTTCTTATGATTGAAAGTAACTAATTCATTTCAATTATAATCCTGCTAGACTTGAATGTTCGTGAAGTGTTTCGTATTGCTCAGACTTTGTAGACTTATCTTATTTGGTTGCGTTATAATTGCTAAGTTTATTTCGAATGTGCATTGATAGTCTTACGCTTTGAAAATTATTATAATTTGAGGGTATTTTATAATTATTGTTGGAAAAAATTACTAAATCAGTTTATGGAAATGATTCATTTGGTCTTGGAATAATAGCACTTAAGTATAAATACTTGTATATTTTTGAATGATGAGTCGTTTGTTAATTGTTATCTAATTCAAACAAAAAAAAAACGTTAACATTAAATTCAGTATTTGAGTGTTAATTTAGTTTTGACAAACTTAAATATTGATTTAAATATCTGTCGTTAATAATTATACTTAACGTTCATATTTAATATTTCGCTGTTATTTTATAATCATGTCGCAAGAAGAAATGAAACTTAAACTTTATACGTCACAGCGAGAGTATGTTTTTCGTTCTATTCAAACTCTTTTCGATTTATCCACTCAAATACGGGAAGACTCCAGTTCATCTAAAGTTAGCCAATTTAAATCTAGATTTCTTAAAATTGAGAACATTCGTGATGAATATGTGTTGCTTACGGAAAAAATTAATTCGTTAAATCTGACACTGTTTCCTAAAGAAAAAATAGATATGCAAGCGTTGTCTGCATTTGATGATATGTACTATGAAGTCCTAAGTTTTGCCGCAGAGATGTCCCTACCGGAGCGCAAACGAAGCAGCAGCCCAACGTCCGCTGACGTTAACTACACCTTTACGCCCGACGCGGAAAAGATACAAGCTAGACTGCCACAAATTGAGCTTCTGAAGTTCGACGGAAAAATTGAGAATTGGCAAACATTTTACGACACTTTCGTAACCTTAATTCATAATAATAAATCAATCGCGAATATTACTAAATCTCACTATCTCATTTCTTGTTTATCGGGATCCGCCTTAGGGATCGCAAAGAAGGTAAAATTAACTTCCTATAATTATGAGCTTGTATTCAATGAACTTATTAAGCGTTATCAAAATAAGCGCATTTTAGCCGTGGCGCATTTAGATCAAATAAATAACTATCCTTATTTAAAAACTCCTACTTTCAATGATTTACAAACATATACTAATATTCTTTGCGAGTCAGTCAATGCCCTTAAGGCCTTAGAGCTAGATGACTTAGGCGATTTTATTTTATTTAACGCAGCGTTTCGCGCACTGGACTCAGATACGCGCCACCGCTTCGAATCTGAAAATAAATCGGAAATTCCTTCTTTTCAAAGTCTTATGCAGTTTCTTCAAAACTATGTAAAAGTTTTAGAAATAAATGCTAATGTTGACATTAGGGCACGATCTTCTCCATTTTTAGGCGGTAAACAGATCAAGAATGTTTCACCGCGGGCACCAAACCTGAAACGTTCCGTGCTCACTACTCAGTCTAAGCCTACTAGTTCGAAGCAGCTGGCTTCACTAGCGTGCTATTATTGTGGCGCAGCGCACAGTATCTATAAGTGCCCCACGTTTCAATCTTTGGACACCAGTGCAAGAATAAATATTGTCAAACAAAATGATTTATGCATTTACTGTTTACGAAAACATTCTCTTGATAAATGCGTCTCAAAAATGAGATGTTTTATATGTAGTGGTAATCATCACACTCTGGTACACATCGACAACCAAGTTCAATCACCGACCGCGGTGACCACCGGTTCGAGTAGCGCCCACACTAACACGAGTGCGTTCGTGGGAGAGGCTCGTGGCCAGTGCGTGGTGCTGCTCGGGACGTATATGGTGCGTGTGCAGGACTCTAGTGGCACGTTCCATCAAGTTAGAGCGCTGATCGATAGCGGCGCTCAGGACTGCTTCATTACTATGAAATGCGCAAAGAGACTTGGCTTTCAATTGCGTCGATGTACCACAACTGTGGCTGGACTTGGACAACAGTCTGTGTGTCAAGTCAAGGGAGTGACTCAATGCTCTATATGCCCGTGTGATTCGAATGGCCCGCAATTTGATATTAATCCTATAGTCATCGATAGAATTACTTCTAAAATGCCAACCACTGATATTCCTCTAGCGGTTCGAGACTGTTACAAACACTTAGTATTAGCGGACCGTGACTTTGACAAACCGTCTGATGTTGATTTATTGCTAGGTGCGGAAGTATTTCATCACATCTATGACGGCCGTGTCATTCACCCAGAGCCCGGCTATCCTGCTGCTTTACATAGCGTCTTTGGTTGGGTGCTCTCAGGACCCACCAATGTGGAGAGTCCGGTAAAATCGGTTGGCACTTCGTTAATTACTTCAACCAACTCATTGGAGAAGATGATGAAACGATTTTGGGAAGTCGAGGAACCGCCTCATCAACATATACCTGCTCCAGAAGATGAGGAGGTCGAACGCCTGTATTCCACTCAAACTTATAGGGCATCGGACGGTAGATATGTTGTTCCTATCTTATTGAAGCAGTCGTCTGTCTATATGGGAGGCTCATATAATAGTTCTTTGTCGCAGTTTATAAATCTTGAGAAAAAACTTTGCCGACAACCAGAACTTAAATCACTCTATAACGATTTTATGCGTGATTATGAGCAGCTTAACCATATGCAACCAGTGGGAAAGGATACTACACCTGGTAGATATTTCATTCCTCACCATTGTGTGATTCGTCCAGAAAGCATAACGACCAAACTTCGCGTTGTATTCAATGCGAGTCACAAGACGACAAATGGACTATCTTTAAATGATATTGTTTACACTGGACCGAAGACCGAAGGCTGATTTGGTTGACATTATTACTGGATTTCGGGTCCATAATGTAGTGTTTACATGTGACATATCTAATATGTACAGGCAAATCTTGATAAGGCCTGAGGATCGAGTGTGGCAACACGTACTATGGCGTGAATCCCCTTCCTTGCCTGTTCAAGAATTTGAACTTCGTACGGTCACATACGGAGTCAAAAGCTCGCCGTACTTAGCGATCCGAACATTACATCAATTAGCTACAGATCACGGTGATCAGTTTCCTCATGCTGCTGAAGCTCTTCGGCATCATACTTATATGGACGATATTACTACAGGTGCTTCCTCAGTCGAAGCAGCCTCTCAACTTAAAGAAGATTTAATCAATCTCCTTAATTGTGCTCAGCTAGATTTGCGTAAGTGGAGCAGTAACAGCCCTTTATTTCTTCGATCGTTACCCATGGAACATTGTCAGTGTCCGAAGACATTTTCTGATGATAGTTCTATAAAGCTTAAGGTTTTGGGAGTTCAATGGGATCCTGAGGAAGACTATTTCACTTACTCCGTCTCTCCTGTGAATGTGGAGTTTACGAAACGTTTAATCCTGTCCCACGTAGCTCGTATTTATGATCCGTTGGGTAGGCTTTCACCTTTTATTCTTTTAGCCAAACTACTTCTTCAAAACTTATGGCGTATTTGATTGTCTTGGGATGAAATCATTCCCGCCAATCTGTGTGACGATTGGGTTTCATTTGTGTCTGACTTGTCTAATATAAAATCGATAAAAATCCCTCGTAAAACCGTGATTGACTTAGCAGCTACACACCAGCTGATTGGGTTTTGCGATGGATCAACCAAAGCATATGGGTGCTGTGTCTATCTTCGATCAAGTATCGATGATCAAAAACAAGTTTCTCTTTTGATTTCTAAATCTAAAGTGGCTCCGATTAAGCCTCTAACAGTTAATCGTTTGGAGTTGTGCGGTGCGCTCTTGTTATCACGTACTCTCAAACACATGCAAACTTTACTTATTTCGTAAATAAATATATCTCATATTGTTGCCTACACTGATAGCTCAACTGTATTAGCTTGGATCAATACCGAGCCTTACAAATTGAAACCTTTTGTTGCACATTGAGTAGTTAAAATAACGGACGCATTTGAACCTTCTATCTGGAGGCATGTCTCGACTCAGGACAATCCTGCTGACTTTCCTAGCCGAGGTCTCTCGTGTGCAGAATTGGTCAATTGTACGCGATGGTGGTCAGGACCAGATTGGATGCTTAGTGGTCCAGATCATTGGCCAGCTCAAAGTCGGTGTGAGCCCCAAGATGAGTTGCCAGAGTTCAGAACACGCACTCTGATTGCTCAATCTCGGGAATCTGATAAAGACATTATGAAGGTGTTATTAAATCGGTATTCATCCTTATCGCGACTACAACGAGTATTGGCATGGGTCTTTCGCTTCATTTCTAATTCGCGCAAAGAACAAAGCCAACGCGAGAAAGGTCACTTGACTACGAATGAGGTAAAGTGCTCTCTGCTTAGCCTTATTAAATATGTCCAATGGGGCAGCTTCAATCAAGAGATGTCTCAATTAAAATCGCAGAAGCCTCTACCTAAATACTTACAAAAGTTGTCTCCGTTTATTGATTGGGTGGACGACTTACTAATTTCAATATACCTGAGCACACAAAACATCCATATTTGTTACCGAAACAATCTATTTTATCTCAATTAATTATTAGCTATTATCATAAACGGTATTTGCACTGTGGACCTCGCACGTTACAATCTCTAATAGTTCGCAAGTTCTGGATTTTAGGAATTAGAAATCTTATTCGTTCTATTTTAACAAAGTGTGTGACTTGCTTTCGGGTTAAACCTGTACCCTATCAGCCATCTATGGGCAACCAAAAAAAAAATTTCAACAGGTAGGGATCGACTTTGGCGGTCCTTTTCTTATAAAAGAAAACAGACGACGTAACGCACGGGTCAGTAAGGCTTACATATGCTTGTTCATTTGCTTATCTGTAAAAGCAGTTCATTTAGAACTCGTATCTGAACTGTCTACAGAAGCGTTTCTAGCCGCCCTAGACAGATTCGTGTCTCGACGTGGAATATGTCAACATATTGTGACCTTAAAGACTAAAAGAGGCTTACTTACAAGACCAGTAGTCAAAGTCTGCCCTCTTCCTCTTGATTGAATCTTATTTTTATTGTTTTATTAAGCTAGATTGTAAGTTCTAATTTTACAATTAAATTAACTAAGTTTGATTTTCTTTTGTAGTTTAGTTAAGGTTATCAATGCACAACTTAGCTCAGGTATCTATTTGGTTTATATTAATTTATATTCTATGAGCAACTGGGGACCTGGAGAGCTGCCGGGTCGATGGTTTTCTTGTGAAATCCCTAGGTTATTTCAGGTGGGAGGGAATGTTGTGGCTTCGGAACAGTCCCGATATAATATCCTTTTCCTAAGTATTTCCTATCCTCCCGCCTCCCCCATATACGCACTACTCAAAATGGTGCGCCACCTATCGTCAAGAAAAAGAAGAAGCAAGATGGCCGCGCGCGCATAAAACGTGTTCGTTACTGCTCGTTTAAAAATACTCAATAAATAAGTTGTAAGACTATCGTGCAATTGCTCGTGTCCATATACATTCGAAGTGCAGTGTGGTGTCTGTGTATACACGAGAACTTCAGTCTAAATATTTAGACTTCACCATAACCACGAGGAGTGCTCCAGTCTTGTGAGTATCCTTGCCTTATCTACCCAGTTCTAAAGCTATTTTCATTTACTTCCTGATTGGGATCATCGGGTTAGCCAGCCCTTGGTCTGGTTGTTCTCTGGTTCCCAAAACCACCCTACGAAACACATTGTGAAACATTCAAGCCGTAACAATAGGTATTATGCTTTTAACAGCGTAACCTTTTACATGACCTTTGTTATCATTCATATTAAAACGATAAACTCATTTATTTAATAAAATGACAATACAAAAGAACAACTAATATTTTATTTAACTTATCATGACTAGTGAAAACACTTGCGTAAACGTCTAAGAAAAATGGTTAGTAAGATTAAACGATTTAAACAACGTTTTATCAAACGTGGTCGGCTAAGTTCTAGTCGCTTAGAAGAAGTAACCATCAATAAAGCAAGGATAACTCGAGTGCATTAACAAGCAATGCCAACAAGAGACTATATTGCCTCCTCTCCTATAAAAAAAGAGACGTCCGTTTTGACAATGTAGAGCATGAATGAGAATATTGTAATAAGTGTAAATATAATAACTATCGGAAGTTGACATCTGTCATGTGTTCAAAATGTAAACTGTCTTTGTGTGACAACAGAAACAATAATTGTTTCATTTGATTTCATAAAAATTAAATTTTTTTTTGAGCTAAATGCATGGAATATCAAAAATGATACTTGATGTGTTATTAGAAATAAATATATTAAAATTTGAAAAATATTTTCTTTATTATTTTTCCCGAGTTTTGTAACTCTAAATTTTTTTTTATAGGAGATGGGGCAACATGCGGCTCACCTGATGGTAAGTGACTACCGCCGCCCATGAACAACCGCAACACCAGGGAGCGAATTGCAGATGCGTTGCCGGCCGTTTAAAAAGGAGTAGTCTCTTTTCTTGAAGGTGGTATCTAAGTGGTATCGGTCCGGAAAAACCGCTGGTGGTAAACTATTCCACAAGGAAGTTGTGCGAGGAAGAAAACATCTTCTAAATCGCACAGTGGTGGACCGCCAATCATCCAGATGGTGTGGATGGTATCGGGATGCGGTGAAGTGGAAGGAGCTGGCACTGGGGAGCCCCAGCCCAGAGATGGGAACAGTATCCCATGTGAGGTCGAACCTACGCCTTGTAAAGTTGCAGGCATTGTGACGGCATGAAATACTGTCCCTCTCTGCTGAGCACGCCAAGCTTTTTAGAGGCCAATTTGGCCTTCTCTTCCAATTGACTACGAAACTACACGTCACTCTCGATATGTCGACTCCGAGGATTCCGATACTGGCTGAGGCAACAAGGGGAGTACCTTGAAACTGAGTAAATACGACAAAGGGGTTCTTTTTAGCGGTAAACGCGCAAATTTGTGTCTTTTGAGGATTAAACTGGACTAGATTTAGTCGCCCCCAATCCGAGACTTTGTCCAGCAGACTCTACTTCAGACACAAGTTTTCTCCGGTACTCGGCGACGTTTTCCCGTGAAATATTGGCACGACCGGTGTACAGAGCATCACCAGTGCTGTCATCAGCATAGCAATGAATGCTACCGGTTTGCAACATATCATTGATGTGCAGAAGTAACAGCGTTGGTGATAGCACGCAGCCTTGTGGAACACCAGCATTAATAGGCTTTTAGTCGGAGCATGCACCGTCTACAACGACCTTGATGCTCCGATCTGCAAGAGAGCTGGTGATCTAATTGCATAATTTCTCGGGAAGCCCATAGGAAGGGAGCTTCGAAAGAAGCGCTTTGTGCCAAACGCGATCGAAGGCCTTCGCAATGTCCAAACTAACGGCCAATGCCTCCCCCTTGGACTCTACTGCCTTCGCCCATCTATGAGTTAAGTATACAAGAAGATTACCAGCTGATGGACCCCGACGAATACCGTATTGGCGGTCACTAATCAGCTGGTGATCCTCAAGGTACCACATGAGGACAAGGGGGTGTTGGCGATAGGCCTGTAGTTGGACGGGTCTGAGCGGTCGCCTTTTTTAGGGATCGGGTGGACAAAAGCTGTCTTCCATGATTTCGGGACTACGCCTAGGGAGTAGGAGTACCAAAAAAGACGCGTTAGAACCGGTGCCAACTCCGGAGCACACGTCTTCAGCACAATTGGGGGATTCCGTAAAGCCCACTCGACTTCTGGATGTCCAGGGAGAGGAATGCTCTGAGAACAGAGCGCTGTGAGAACCGCACATCCAGCATGAAGCACTCACACCGCGGGATGGTCGGCGGTGTGTTCCCCTCGTCATCAACAGTCGAGTTGGACGCAAAAAGGGAGCCTAAAAGGTCGGCTTTCTCTTTTGCGTCATGGGCCAGTGATTCATCCTCCCTGTGCAGAGATGGTAGTGATGGCTTACAGAAATTACTTTGGACAGCCTTGGCGAGAGACCAGAATGCACGGGTTCCCGAAGGAAGGCGAACTAGTTTCTCGCCAATTCTGCCTATGTGCTTTGATTTTGCCTTTGCAATAACTCTTTTGAAGGACCTGGAGGCGAAGTTATACTTCTTTTTAAGTATGCTGGTGTTTACATCCCGAGTCGCCGAAGCCGCAGCCCAGGCTTGATAACACTCCTGCTTACTGCGTAATGCAGTCTTACAAGAGCGACCAAACCAAGGCTAAGATCTGCCTCCGATGGGTACCACAGATGATGGAATAAATAGTTCCATTCCCTGTAGCACCACATCAGTGACAGAGTCAGCAACAGCGCTGGGATCATCCGGCGAGAAGCAAACCCGCCCCCATGGGTAAGATGCAAAGAAAGACCGCATTCCGTTCCAATGCGCCAACCTGTCATGCCAAACACGGCGGTAACCTGCAGAACGCAACCGCGAGGGGTGCGTGAGTGGCACCACACTCCGGATCAGACAATGATCCGAAGAGCCAAGAGAGGCATCGACGGAAACCTGATATCTGTCCAGATGAGAGGTCAGCGGAAGGTCCAACAGGGA